TACTGAATGTGGCTGACTTCTCACGATGGGGATCGTTATTTTTTATGTTCTCCTAATGAGAGTTTGCCGAAGAGAATACAAAAAATGAAATGACCTACATCCAATATGACGGACTCCCAATGGTCGACTGTTTTTATGCACCCATGATATTGATATCAAATTAAGGGCGATACACAAAATGGCGGAAAACAAGATGATTGCCATATCAATTTTTGTCCGATGTTTCCGGGTTTATTAGCCGTGGTCTGCAGGTCTACATGACGTTTCGTCTGGTATTGCGGCAGATATTATCAAAGGCGATGTGGTAACGGGCGAAGATCCCTACCTTGCTGTGTCCCTCAATCGCAGCAAGAAAAATCACCATGCTGTCAATTATTGAAAGTCATAACTCGGCAAAGGATAGGTATAGTTCGGTGGTGTTTGGACAAATGTTGTAGGGATCGAGAATGAAATAATGAACATATTAAGGAACATTAAGGAACGTGTTAAGGAACATATTAAGGAACATGTTAAGGAACATATTAAGCAACATGTTTAGCGACAATTGGACAATAAATAGTAAAAGTGATAGTAAAGGAACCTTTTTAAAAAACATACTTTTATTAGGAGTATTTCGATATGTGAATTAGAAACAAATCCCTTTAAAAATTAAAACCCAACATTTGAAACATCAAAGTGAATTTGAAAAACTCATGAATTAAACTCAACTTTATTTCGTCCAAACTTGCATTTGAGGGAATAACCCAAATTGAGGAACATTCCCCATGGGACTTTAATTCGTGGTTGAAACTGTTTATTTTTTGAAATATTTTTGTCATTTGTTTTCAGGACCCTCAATTAATATTATCAACTAGTTTCTCATTACTTTACCTCTTGTATAAGAGTTTATTTAATAACTTATTCATACCATCGAATAGATAATAGTTGCAGAATATGGGAAAGTCCATTCATGAAACACAATTGAATCGTCAAGGACCTTTTTTCACGTGGATTACAACATCCTCCATTTCGATTTCAGACATTATTGTCCGTTCACCGAGCAGGTAGGTAGGGGATAGCCCAGCTATCCCCTGCTGAAGAGCCCAATGCAGTTTGTGTGAAAGGTTATGGTTAAATAATAAATTCTTGCTATTTTTACCTCCAAGGTGAAGGTCATTAGTCCCGTCTCTTTTCCAAACTGATTAGACATATTAAATCCAGGGCCGGCTTCAAATAAAAGTAAGTGTGTATGAAAAAATCCAAACCATCAAATCCAAAGTTCAAAGTGTTAGGATATTACTTAAAATTCAGGAAAATCCGGAAAATATATGTATCATGAAAAGGGTGACTTATTTTTGTAAAAGGCTGTTCACCAAACCGTTATTTTAAAACCTCGACACGTGTTTCGATCACCAAGTGATCATCTTCAAGAGGAACCTAGTTTGATCTTCCTCTTGAAGATGATCAGTTGGTGATCGAAACACGTGTCGAGGTGTTAAAATAACGGTTTGGTGTTGGGATAAAACTCCAGTAATATTCATAACTACACCAAAGGTTCCAAACAGTGCATCACAAAACGGCTGTTCACAAAATGGGTCCATTCAAAACCAGCTATCTCAAAATCAATCATTCGGGATAGAACCTTACAGCAATCGAACTGTTACTCTTTGTTATTTGTCAAAATTGAATTTATTGTCTTCGTTAGGACAATTAAAATATAATAATTACCTACAATTTTGTAAGGATAACAAATATGGAGTGTTAACTAATGAAAGAATGAAAAAGAAACTATCTGAAAACGAACATGAAATGATTTTTAAATTTTTCTTGTACGAAAATTTGTATTACCGAGTATTTGCTATCTTTTTCGCATTGTTTAGAACTGATCCCTTTTTGATAGAAAGCTCTTCCCTATTGATGTGTCATTTCCAATAAAATCTTTATGGTTTGATGATGATGTTTGTGGATATGTTCACCCAATGCACAAGAATTTAGGTTTTGTCTGCAGTCGCTTTTGTGACACGCTGACTATTAAAAGGTTTTCATATACAGTGTATAAAAGCCAAATGGAATAAATTCATTATTTCGGTTGCTGTGCATATTTAAAAAAAAACCGAAACACGTCAAATGTAAATTATAATTTGACATTCTTCAACGTAAAAATGCCACCCCTAACTTCAACCCCCTTTGAATGACAGGTACAACCCCCAATGTTCTCAATGAGAAGTATGTTTGTGATATATCGTTTGTAAGGTCTCTTCATTCTCTATTCAAAAATGTTATCGCTTTCAAGTTTATTGCAACAGTTAAGATAAAATAAATTAAAATCATGTGGTTACCGAAATTCGATAAAATACACTCAAAAACTAAAATGCAATAATGCAAAACGTAATGAAATGTAGAATACGAAAAAGAACTATGGATGTTAACGAAGTAGATGCTCAAAATGTTCACCGGAACGTCTTGACAACATCCTAATCTCAAATAAAACTTCTCACATCTAATCGCAAGCGTTATTCGTTTAACACTAGTGAACAAATTCAAATTTTAGGGATTAAAAATGGGTCACACTGTATATATAAAAACATATTTTTAACACGCTACTTTGTAAACATCATCTTGACAACCATAAAAAATGTCACTTTTAATGACAGTTGTACAAAAACTCGTTTTACTGCCTGGCATATACAGGGTCATACTACATCATAAAATGAAATGAAAGGTTTCTGTTATATTGTAAATAAACTATAAACTATGTAAAATTTTATGGACGTTTCTCTTCTTCATTATGAAATCTACTGGATGTTTACTAAAAATTGAACCATTTCACAGATCTTTGGTGTAGTGAGTTCGAAACCGTTACAACTTTTTGGAAGAATCAATGTTCTTACTGTTTTTTATGGATTTTTTTCAACCTACAATCTGAAAAATAGATAAATCTACATATACATGGAATCTGCTGAAATGTAAACGAAGGCAAACTAAAAATTCATTCCAAAACGTTACAGCGTGATATAAACCACTATACTCTGCTCATACAAGCGACAGAGTACTCTCAAATATTGTCATGCATAGTGCACGTGGTCTCCCAAACAAGGCTGCTTGAACAGAGTCCTACTAAGGAACGACCGATTTTTTTAATAATGCAGCTGGGAGACATTTTTAGGTAGAGTGTAGGGACACAAATTAGCAGTTTCTTCAGCCGGACCAGTACTTGACATTAAAAAAAAAATAACTTCAAAATACCGTATATGTACACCCCACAGGTGTTATGGTCAGCATAAGGAGGCTTGTTTTTTTACCCATTAGATTCCAATATGCGTGGTGATCACGCATCTATCATTGTTTGGGTTACTTTGTTTGATGGACAGAGTTTAGAGTCCAATCGTCAATAACCAATTACATGTATAAAGTAGAGATTCAGAAAAAAAATTTGGTCGAACTCGATTATTTTTCTAGATATAGCTTGTCATATTTCACCTGAATTTAAATATCAATAAAGGACTACAATTCACATATTTCAGTTTCAAGATCCCTTTTTCATATAAAAACACCTTTTTCTATCATTTTTCATTCAATTTATCGCCAATTTTTTTGAACCTCATTGGAATTTTATAATTTCAATATTTGTAATGTCAGTGGTGAAAAAAAATAAATACTTTGACGGATTCTATCACTAATTGAGTCCGACGTTCTCAATTTCTGTCATTAAAAAGTATCTTCCCATAAAAAATTGCGAACATCCATGAATATACTCATACAGAATGTTGTCAGAAAACTTGGTGAACGTTCATAATATTTCCTTCGTTCAATTCTCGCCTTAGCAATGGTAACCAGGTGCGATCCATTTGCACAGAGTTGTAAAAAATACCCTTGTTAATTAACGAAAGAATATTTATCTGCTAAAAGAATATATACAGATTCTTCGAGTATTCTCATCGTTTGTTTAGCGACAATTTTTATTTCATTCTATTTTGATTTGGGAATATGCTCTGCTGTACTCGATCCTGTTATCGGTATTTACGATATCTGTTTTTGTGCATTTTGGGATAATGAAATTTCACCTATTTTTAACACGCTTTTATAAGCTTCACCTGTATGTATGTATGTATGTTTGTTGGTTTGTTAGTTTGTTTGAAACTCCATAATTATAGACATTATTGCTTGATCTATTCTCGGGCAGATGGCGCTGTACGCAACTTCCCTGATATAATTCGAACTCACTCTACATGTATTTCTACATTTGAAAAAGGTATATTAATTATTAATTTTAACACTCTTTTATTAGCTTCACCTGTATGTATGTGTTTTGTTTGTTTGTAACTCTTCTTTTCATTTCATATTTGTTCCCGTTTGAATTCTCGGGATCTATATTTGACAGAATTATTGACATTATTGCTTGACCTATTCGCGGGCAGATGGCGCTGTACGTAACCTCCTTGATATAATTCGAACTCACTTTACATGTATTTCTTCATTCGAAAAAAGTATTTTTTTTAGTAACTCGCGCGCCTGCTGCCTTATTTGTAACCCTCCTTTGCGCGCCTGTTGCCTTCCTTGGGCTTAGTAGCTGATTTTCAAGCACCCTCTCCGGAATCTGAAAATATCAATTGGTCATTTTTCTAAACAATATACGGCTATCGATCCCAAAGTTTAGATAAAATGAATATAGTTTAAAAAGACTAAAAAACACGCTTTTAAAGAACATCGAACTAAAAAGTCAAAAATTGTTTAAAATATCGAACGAAAATAACGAACTTCGCTTTTTTCACAATAATACTATAAATTATTTTTACCTTTTTACTTCGTTCTTTAAAAGCGTGTGTTTTAGTTTTTTTTAAACTATATTCATTTTCCTCAGGAATAGGCAATACCGTATTTTGGAAAATACTTGACTATACAAATTAAATAACTAGTAATTGTTTTCGGACTATCATCATACATTATTCGCGATCCCTCCCAAGGGATTTTTTCAACCCTCTTCCAAACATCTCGAATCTAACACGACCTTTTCTTTCCAGGCGAGACTAGCATTCCACCACTGCCTTCACTGAAGCATGGTAAACAGTGGTCCATTCGACTCAGACGGCGGCCAAGGGGATCGAAATGCGAAAGCCAGTTGCACGCAGCCACACACCGCCTCCGACAGCACGCAATCATCTAGCCCGGTCACGGCCAGCGTTGCCTCATCGCGTAAAACCGGCTGCTCGCAAACAGCTGACAGCGACGCCATCGGCCCGACGCCGACGAAGACCGAGTTCAACAGCGACATGCCCCTCAAAAACATCTCCGCCGACGACGACAACGTAGACGAAGAGGAAAAGTCCAGCCCGCCGATGGAGACGGTGCGGGACGTGCTACCTCCGGTCAAGCCGACGCGGAAGCTGCTGTGCTTGTACTGCGACAGGACGTTCGTCAGCTCGAATCTGCGACAGAAGCACGTGAAGCGCGTCCATTCCGCGAAGAAAAACCGTCGCCTCAGTTCGCGCAAGCAAGGACAGATCGCAGCGGCGCAATGCGTTCATTGCGACCGACTGGACGGGACCGAGAACACACTGACGGATCTCTTCCAGCACCTTGTCAATGAACACTCCAACAAGTACTTTGGGTGTATTCCCTGCGAAGACAGATTCCCTTCCGGGGCTGTTCTTGCGGACCATAATACCGAGTTCCACTTCGCTCCTCCGATTGAAACCACCGTGAGGGAGACTCCCTCGAAGCTGACCAGAAGTCGGGTGAAACCTAAACCGAATCCGCCGAAGCTGAAGGAGCTGCGCTGCAAGAAGATGTCCATTAAGAGCTCGCGCATCGCGCTCAAGCGCCGCGAAAGCAAACGAATACAAGCTCTTTCGAAGATTCCGGAGAAGCGCAGGCCGAAACCTTCGGAGAAGAAACAGCCCGGTGGCAAGCCGGAGCAACCCCATAGTACAAAATCGACAGAGAAGACGAAGTCGAGCTGCGTGAACCCCTATCCCGAATTCGATAACTTTTACCGCGTGAAAAAAATAACCGACCATTCCATAGACAATTTGAAGATAAGCTCCTTGACATTCGACGACGTGTTCGACAAGGCGTTCTTCAACCGAATCAAGTGCAATATAGAGGAGAACCTGCTGCATCACATCGACGGGAAACTGTTCAAGAACGAGGAGTCGGAGACGAGGATATCAAACTTCGAGAAAATCCCGACGACCCAGCAGGAAGTCCAGAACCCCAATTCGGACAATTACGGCTGCGAGCTCTCGCTCAACGCGGTCACTCCAGTGCCGTCGCTCTCTCTTAACTCCCAGTTCGGGGAAGATTTCGAATCGCAGATCGAGTACGGAGCGAAACCCTCCAAGAAGAAGACACAGACAAAGAAGGACGAGGTGCATTACAAGTATTTCACGCGGCGCAAGTACCAGGCGTGCATGATGGAACAGAAGGAAAATCGCGACCTCAGCAAGCTGGACATGTGGACGCAGCTGGTGATCAAGAACCGTCAGCAGAAGATAATTGACGATAACAAGACCGCCAGGGAGATCTTCGAGTACAGCACTTGCAACGAGTACCAGAGCAAGCTGAAGCGCGAAGAACTCAACAGAATTTTGGACAGGCGCGGACCGTTCGAGGACCTTCGCGAGGAGGCCAGCAAAAAGGCCGCGTTGGATAAGCTGAACTCTGATGCCGAGGATAGCATCAGTCACGAGAGCTTCACGCACGTGCGGGAAGTTCTAGACGAGGTCCTGGCCAGAGTGTTCGCCGCGACAGAAAACGACGTGGAGGTCGTGGAGGAAAAACCCTCCACGAGCAAGAAGCAAGATCTCAGGGAAATTCCAAGTTATTTGAACCTGCAGCTGTCTTCGTCACAGCACGGCGACATCGATAAATCCGACAAGATCACGTTGATCTGCTCCTCGCAAGAAACGGAAAACTTTGAGCTGCCGACGAACCAGGTCCGGGGTAAGAACGAGCTGGTGGAATTGTCTGGAGAGTGGGCGAGGAGCCGGATGTACATTTGCGCCGCTTGTGGTGCTAAGCTCCCCAACATGAAGTACCTTTTGGAGCACAAGACTCTATATCACCAGAACGTCTGGGTGCAGCACTACGAGTTTGTTGGGAACCAGAGCGAGCTCTATCGACATCTGAGCATTCCGGCATTGGGCAAGGTCGGGGAGGTTGAGAACAGTGTGCAGTGCAAGTTGTGGAAGCGCAGTGAAGCTCGGGCATGTACAAAGTGCGGGAAGCAGTGCAATGCTCTCGGGGAATTACACAGGCACGTTTTGGAGTGCGGGGGAGATTGGACTTGGATGCTGGCCAGGAAAAAGTGCAAATACAGACCCTTTGGAGCTAAGTCGAGAAGGAAGAAAAGAGGTAAGGGCTTCTGGTTTTCAAAGGGTAAATCTCTGAATGCAGTAGTGGAAATATTTCTCAGAAATTACCTCAGTTCAATCACTCACTTCCAGTGAGCTATTTCAACCTTTTTAAATTTATTTCAAAGAAAGAAATAGAAAGTTGCAGACGTGTGCAAAGACTTAGGTTGATTCAATGGAAAACCAAACTGAAATTTGTTTTTGTTTTTAAAATTTTTGTAAGTGGAATATGAAGATTTATGAAAATGTATATATTCAGCGGGTAAAACTGTATTCTTTACAATATCTGCCAGTTAAATATCATATCTTTGAAATTCAGACTTTTCCTCAAACGTAACAACTGCTTTATACAAAATATAAATATTTAATATGTTATCTGAGAGAATCTATATCGTTCAATGTACAGAAAAAGATTATTAAATCATTCTATCTGCATTAGCTTTGCACATCTAGAAAAACTATCCAATGTGGAATCCTCCGTGGTTGAATCTATGAAAGCAATGATGAATCCGAGTTATCTAGGTCATTAGAAAAAGTGGAAATAAGATTATTACTCAGAAACCCATTTGTAACTGGATATTCGTTTCTAGGTACTTTTTCCAGTAGAGATTTACACTGACATGGAAAGATATTTCTGGGACAGTGGCTAGAAAATATTAATCTGTGTTATGAAATAGAAAATAAACTGTTTTAGGAGAAATGAGTTTCATGCCCCTATATCACTTCCACCGCCTCGACGGGATGAGATCTAAGTCTTGAATCTTGAATGGAATTAGTGATCGAGAAATTTTCAGTTTGAAAGGACATCAAGTTCTATTTTCAACATGCTCTACTTTTTAAATTTGATTGTGAAGCTAGCACGTTTTTTTCGAATGTTGCTTTTGTACAATTGAGTATTTGGAACTCAATGCTGATAATAAAAAATAAGCCTCAAAATGAAGCTTTTTTTGCTATCTTCCTCTGAAAGTAAAAATTTCATTTATCTCCATTTATAGTACTTTTTTTCAATGTTCTTTAATTAAACATCAAAAAGTTCTTCATTTTTTTAAGATACAGAAATCTTTTTGACAAACTGTAAAACATTTATATGCCTTTATATACATAATGATTCACATCAAATTGGGTTAATAACATAATACAACAACCGTGACTATTTCAGCTCATTATTTTGTTAACAATGTTTTATTCAACTACCAAACGAGTATCGATAATTAAATTTTATTATGGAAAGTGGTCCATTAATATGACATTAATATGACAGCATAATTGTTTAATGCTTGTCTGATAGTGGTTGACAATGGTATTTGGTGAATATTACAAGTTCAGACTGATGGGCAAATCGCTGAACAAAAGGTTGTGCACCAATTTTCCTAAAGCCCCAAATAATATTTCTAATTCCTGAGTGATACCCGACTGATATCTGTAATTTTCTTATACTCAATTCCCTAGAAATTCCTGCAATTCTATTGTGATTCATGAAATCCCAATAAATTCGGTTTTTGAAAATGTCTCTTGCAATGATTTTTGACCTCTTACTTAAATTTTCATTTATTACATGTCTACTTTCTGCTCACTCATTGCTCACTCATTAAGTAAACACTATATGAAATGGAAGTATTTAGAGTTCTACGATAATATTATTTTTACTTAATCTCATTCATTTATCAAAATTTGAAAACTCCATGTAATGTAATAGTGATTTGAAATAATGACCTGGAAGTTGAAGAATATACATTTGTTTATGGAATAGTCCACCTTCCAGTTGTGTAAATGTTTATTCACTTACTAGATTCACTTCAATTTTGATTTAGGAGTTGAATTATGAACTCTCACTCTATAGATGTTATGATATACAGTTGGTGAGACAAAAGAATACATATGCATCATCAAAAAATATGTGGGTAAACATACTTTTATTTAGCATCCTTTTCTTCCACAAGTGAAAAAGAATACAAAACAGTTAACATTTACCATAGCGAGAGCATTTTTTTGCTAAATACAAACTATCAGAAATCGGTAGTTTTCACGATTAGGAGATGTACGAAATCCATTCTTCAAGATATGATTTTGGTTCTGCCATTCCACTTCCACCATCTCCAAGAGGGAAGTTTTATATTTTTTTAATATTTTTCTCTGTGCACTATCAATCTAACTGACTTCATACCTGTCCATATTCTCTATTACAACATCTATTATTATTAGATAAAGGAATTTAAATTGTCTTATTTATTGGTACCTACCAACATTGCTTTGGAAGTTAGTCAATGAAGCTAGATTAAAGATATACATAGGTTGAAAAGTGAATTTTCCTCTGCTATAGTCACCTGTAAGTCTTCTTCAAATTTTGATATTCTTTCTTGAAGGTTTGGTCCAAAGAATTCGACACAAACAAAAGACTGATTCCACGGAGAAGAAGAAGTACAAGAAGACGTTCGAAGGTCCGAGGCAGCGTCCTAGTGACGGTAAGTACCCCCTTATCAATTTTTTCCCAGTTTTCTCAGAAGTGTTGTTTTATAGCCGATACAATTCAGCGGATGCTGGCAAATTTACCTGCGAAACGATCCACCAGAAAACTCATATCGCTCTACGATGGCGTTTGCAGAGCTAGAAAGAATAACCAAATGCAACAGAACGTAAAACAGAAAAAAGTTAAATGCGGCAAGGTGATTTATAAGAGCAGCAACATGAAAGAAAATACGGAGAAAACCATCAACACCGCTAGGGTGGCGATTCCTCAGAAAAGCAGCGGTTCCAGTAGAAGATCGCTCAGAACTTTGAATAGGGTGCTGTCAAGTAGGATTTTAGATACCAATACTAAACTCACGGTGAAGCGGAAAATGAAAGTATTAAACGAGCGGAGACGTACCCGACAATCCTTGGTAACGGAGGAGACCAATGAAAATAACGCCGAAGATGGTTCGGAATTAGCCTCCCTTGCCTCTCAGGATAAAAAGCTCAAGAAAGATAAACTTGAATTAGCTCAAAGCACCGCTAAAAGGACGTCGCCAAGAAGCACGGCGAAAAACACAAAGAAAATGACGATGAAAAAGCTTCTGTCGGGAAATATTAATATAAAATCATTCTTCCCTGTAAAAAAGCGGGAAAACAAGAAAGCTTCCCGAGAAAGTATAGCTCCTGGTGCCGAAAATAATGGTACAGAAACAAAAAGCAGAAGCAGGAAGTCTAAGGATGCACTCGAAGAAAATGTTGTAGAGAATATTCCCAAAAAAAGCAAAGACACGTTCGAAAAGCTGGTCCGATCTCTAAGTATGCGCAAGAAAAAAATCCCGAAGTTGTCGCCACCCTCTGAAACTCTTGCAAGCGAAACCTCGAAAGAACCTTCTGCCGTCGATAAACCTACGAAAGAAGACTTGGACAAAACCAACAAGAAACGCAAACTGAAACGTAGCTTTCGAAATGTCATCAATAGGGTTAAGAGGCTCAAAATAGATAATGCCTCCGAAGTCGGACAGGAGATGTCTCGTACGAAAGGTACGAGCGAAACCAACGTCAAGAGTACTTTTTTAGAGGAACGTCAGCCGGAAAAACCAAACCTGCCGCCGCAGCCCGTGAAAATTGTAGTCCCGTCAAACTTAGAAGCAAAAGAAAACACAGCTGACATATCAGAAACTGCCCACATTGTGATGAACCTTAGCGAAACAAATGAAAGCTCCATCATGCCAGAAAATATCTTTAAATTAGAATCTAATAACGAGAAGAACCTTCAAGCCAAAGGAGAATTGAACTTCGACACGAAGCCAGATAACAAGCAAAACATCGCGGAAAACTGCACGAAAATCACGGAAACTGACTTGACGAAGTCGGATAAAACGCAACCTATCACCATAGAGACTTCTGAGAAGCCCAAAATCGTGCCTATGATATCTCCAAATATGAAGGGGAAGATAAGAAAACCTGCTAGAGGTTTAAACGACTGTATAGCTATGTTAACCAATAAACTCCAGCAAAAAACTACCGAAACTATAGCCAAAGTCGGCATTTTCAACTTGCTGCCTTCACGAATCGCTCCCAAAGTGGTAGAAGATCCACACCCTCCAAAAACTGAGTGCATCTTGAGGATACCCACTTTCAAAACACAAGATACTGTTGAAGAAACCGCGCTAGATCTCACCACCAAGCCGAAAAATTCGTTTGTAAATCCACCCCTATTCGGCAAGGTTCAAATCAGTAATCCCCTGCAGAACTTGCTGTTACCAAACAATTCTTTTCTACCTCCAAAAAGTATTAAAAAATGGAATTCTGTCGATAGGATTATAGAAGACGTGGTCGAGAATAAAAATTCCAATGTTAGCGCAACAGAAAACGTTGTTAAATATAAACTTCCGGAAGAATCTACTTTAAGATCCTGGAACTCTGTCGACGAAATAATTCAGACTGTCGTGAGCGGATATCAAGTGGAAGAGCCTCGAGAGAGATCTAGAACCACCGTTGACGACGTTATAGATTTTGTGGTGGCAGGAAATGTATATGGCGCTGAAAGAGATGCGACCACTCCGGATATAAATACAGATGCCTTGACAAATAAAATCAGAAAGAGCCGATCAGTGAATGATTTAAATCTGGTCAGTGAAAAGAAACTGAGTTCAGTTACGAAGAGAGAAGAGAAAATATCGACCACTTCGACAATGGAAGAGGAGATCGCTAGAAGAAGCGAAGCAATTAGCGATACCATTGATTTCGTAGTTTCAGGTGGTAGTTTTGACGTTCCTACTCCAGAAACTGCTAAGTATGTTATACATGAATCGAAAAGTAAACCTGAAAGGAAAATCGGATCTTTGCGAAAACAAAAGAAAAAAGTCTCCAAAATAAGCATAGTTGGTGCAGAAGAAACCCCTCCTAAGGTTGAAGCTGTTGTCTTGAAAGTAAATCTCTGTCCCGCCGATACTGAGGGTCAAAGTCGACAGAAAAATGTCTGTGATGAAAATAAAGAAATAAAAAGTCATGTCGCCAGCAACAGTACCTCAATCCAGTTAGAAGTCTCTGACGACAAATCTAATGTTACAAAAACCTGCGACATCGCCGAAGATGATTCTCCTCTCATTGAGAAAAATGCTAATAGCCTATATAGCATTTCCGCCGACCCATTAGAGCCAACCCTCAACAAGGCTTTCATTCAGTCGCCAAAGGTTGATTTGAGACACCTTCAAGTTAATCGAGTCAACAGGACTTCAAGAAAAGTAGGTCAAGTCAGAAAGGGTTTATCTAAACAAAGGAAATCAATTTCCTCAGAAAACAAACCAGTCCCTGCTGTAATAGAGACACATTTAGATGACTTGCTTGATATACAGGAAATGAACTGCCAGTCTGAACTGTCGGTTTCTTCCTTTAAGATTAGCAGTATCGCCTCGTCTAGTGAACTGTCGACGAAAGATTTGAAACTTTGTAACGAAGATGAACCTCGCATATTCGAAAACAAGGCTGTCATAGAGTCCCATCCAAGTGACTCTGACGATGACATTCCATTGATATCACTGTTGAGGGTTAATGAGAAAAACGCTAATGAAAACGAAAGTGTTTCTGATAAAGCTGATCCCGAAAACGTTTCTGGTTTGTTAATACAGGAACAAGGAACATTTAAGGCAGCGAATGATTCTCTTGGTGATCAGAATAAAGACAGTGGTATAGAAACTGATAGGAGTGAAGAAAGTGGTTCTATAGATAGTGAGAAAATAAATGTATTTGCACAATTATCTCTGAGAGGCAGTCCAGAACTGGGCTTAGATTCAATGAGCAAAAATATTCCATTGATTGAGGATCCACTAATTGAAAAAGATGACGTATGTAGAAGTGCAAGAACTTTATGCACAAACATTCAAAACATTACTCCGGGGGATAGTCTTGAACGAGTACCAGAGAAAATCAACGAAAAAATCTCACCGACTCGCGAAGCTACAAATGAAAAAAGTGACTCTCATGAAAATTCAATTACTTCAGGCATTGTCATTGGGAAGACTATGCGCAAAGAAAATATTGATGAAGATTTCAAAGAGGAACCCAATATAAATACATCGACTACAATTTTCAAACCTCCAGTGCTCAAGATCAAGAAACCAGTTAGTGGCAAAACTAGAAATTCAAAGAGTAAGAAATCTAACTCAAAAACAGATAAACGGAAATCTGTATCGATAGTTTCACTCAAATCACTTGATCACTGCGATAGCACTGACATGCCTGAAGCTTCCACTCCTTGTAGAAACATTCAGGAAACGGACTTGGATGATATGGAGTCACTTCTAAAATTGAATATTGACGAAAGAGTTTCTGAATCAACAGATGAAATAGATCAAATCAATGAACTTCTTCCGTCAAGTTCAAAAAATTCTGGTGACAAAATGATAATTAATGAAAATTACACGTTATTAGATGATATAGCAGCAGAGACAAAATTGGCGGATTCACACTCTGAAGTTATGAAGAATAACAATATTTTAAAAGGTAATACTCAACACCAGCAGAAGAAAGTGAAAAGACGCTCAAAGTCATCTAGAACTGTTGGAAGTAAACCAAATAAAACGTCTCTTGATGAACCAGATTCAGATGAAATCATCGATTCACTGCCATTATCCATTCTAGTCTCGAAAGACATTCCACTAGTGACGGATATGTCACAAAGTTCAACCGAAACGGAACAGAGCAAACTCGAACATATCGAAGAAGAGAAAGATCCTTTACCATTGAAAACTGGTGTTGAAGCTAGATCAATAGATTCAGCGAATATCCGTGATCTTACAGAACCTCCCATCACTCGGAAGATAAGAAAAAATAAGAGAAAGATTGGAAAGCGAATGAAGAAGGTTACTCCAAAACTATTATTATCTATTTCACATATAATGGAAACAACTAACCCGGATATCCTTTCTCTCAACTCGGAACTGAATAAAAAATCTGAATCCATACTTTCAGAAACTTCGACCAATTTAGAATTTTCAGAAATAAAATCACAGACCGATGTAAAAGGTGAAATTCATAGTAATGAAACTATGGAACTTTTGTTAAACCTTGAGGAAACTGACACTCGGTCTCTTCCTAATATAGTTGGCGATATAATCTGTCAAAGTAAACTTGTACAAGTGAGTGGAAGTGAAAAAATTCCGGATCTTCCTGAAAACAACTCTGTAACTAATACTAGAAAGAAGGTTCAGAGGAGGTCTAGGTCATTGAAAAACAGGTCACTATCTGAGCTTTCAGATGGAGTAGACATAAGTGGACCTGAAAAATTGCATTATTCCGCTACTGATTTTACAGATGTGACTACAAATATATTGCCAAATGACGAAAACAGCAACATTTTTACTAAATGTATAAAAAGAGATAGAAATGTTGAATCAGAAGATAATGAGAAAGATGAGAACAGCAAAGTCAAACATGTTGACGAGTTTGTAGAACAACTAAATGGGAATCGATCAAGTCCAAAACCGAAGAAAGCGATCAAAAATCGGTCGCATTCCTGTAAAACTGTCTCTACCAACGAGATTTCTATCAAAAATCAAACTACTGCTTTCAGAGATGCAAAACCCAGTTTTATAGGGGAACCAGTGGTTGACTTGGTTAGATGTGAAACACAGTTGCTCATTCCAACGTCAGAGCCATCAATTACATTCCAATCTGACATACTTGAACCTCTCACTATCAGTCTACAAAGGGAAGAATCTCAGGTATCTGACACTAGTGATATTGATCACAGAATATCGCGGAAGAGAACGACTGACGTAAAAGCCAATCACACCTCAGATTCCAGCAATGTTGGACTCACCGGCAGACCTATTGAAACACTTGAACCCGAAAAATTGGAATCTGCGGTTGAGGTTTTATTGAAAACACCTACTGATATTCTTCCCGGATCTCAGAAGAAAGTTTCAGAAATCACTATTAAAGAATCAGTTGAGCAAAATTATGATGCAACAGATATGCTTACGCCCACAAAAAGAAGCTGTAGATCACTTAAAACCTTGAGTGATGAATCACCTTTAAGCGAGTGCAAGAGCTCTGATAGAGAATTGTCAGAATCTGACGTAGAATTTAAAATAAAAACACCTCCTAAGAGAAGTCCTAGGTCTCTCAGGATCCGTAATATAATCAACAAAAATAATACCACAAATAAAAATCAGAATTCTAGTAAAGAAAGTAGTGATACTAGGGTCATACGGCAAGTGAAAAGAAAGGCCAAATCTTCGAAAAATGATTTGGCAACTCCGTCAGATGACTCATTTGGCAATAAGGAGAAAGTTGTTTTGAAAGTTGATGAAACAGAAATGGTTGAATCCAACTTGTGTTTAAAACCAGAAGGAAAGTCTTGGGTATCAAGGTCTCTTGAAAACAGTTTTGAAATTTCTTTGGCTGAACCAAAAAACTCTATTGAAATAAACGCAGAATGGACAGAACAAACAGAAACTCATATTGATTTTTCAAAAGAAAAGCCAAGATCTGAAACAAATCCTCTAATAGCTTTAGGTGATGAAACTTATATTACCGATATTTCAAATTCTAAAACTAAAGGAAACAGAAGAACAACAGAGTCAGAGGTAGAGGAAACACCATATCCTGCAGATATGAATTTAGATTTTATAACAGTAAATTCAGAACAAGTAGCAGCTTTGAAAAATGAAGTAATCGACAATATTAATTCCCCTTTGAATAAAATTGTAGAAGGAACTATCCAAAGTGGAAAAGAAGAAACAAGTACAAAATTAATCACTTCTCTTGAGCAACCTTTGACAAAATCACTATCTAAAAATAATACAAATTCTCTGGAAACTAATGAAATCTCTTCTAACGACTTTGATGGAAAAGATCTAATCCATTCGCCAAATGATAACATAAAGCAATGCATTGATGAATCTATCACGAATAAATCGAAAACTCAAATCTTCAGGAGATCTCAATCTTTCAAAGAGAACTGCACTGTGTCCACTGAAGAGTCATTTAAAGGCATTTCAAGTCACAGTGATATTGAAATTACGCAACCTGTAAATCCCAAGAATACCTCCTCGAAAACAAAAAGACTGAATAAAAGATCAAAGCTTCCAAAGAGCGGTGAACCCAGTTCAAATGAATCTATAATAAAACAAGACGAAATTGGTAGCTTAGAACCATGTGATATTGAAATGAATTTTATTGATAGAAATGAATCAGTTCATAACCAATCAAATTCTGATATTGTCAACAAGAGAACAAGGAAAATCTCTCAAAAACGATCAAAATCATTGAAAGGAGTGGAATCCATATCAGCTGAGGCTGCTGAGATTGAAGTATTAGGTAGTAACGAAACTGCTTTATTAGAGAATACAATAACAAAGAGACCTACCAGGAGTTCTCGATCTGTAAAAAATACTATAAGTTCTATGTCGCAGCCTGAAAAGTTTTCAGAAGAAAAACTAGTCGGCAATGTTGAAGTGCTAATGCATCCTGTAGTCCAGGAATCACAAGAACTAGTCGAATTGGACTCTAAATCCATATCTTTGACAAAGTTTGACACTGAAGCTTTTTGTAGCACACCAGGTGAAACAGATAAATCTGAAGTAAATCCTTCTGACAAATATAACAAACCATCTAAGAGAACCAGTTCCTTGAATAAACTTCCCAGTTTTAAGATACCTGTTGATAACATCAATAAAGAAGAAACCCAATATCAGCCAGTGTCTGATGCCTTTTCACCAATCGAAAATCCTAATACGAGGTCTAGATCGGTAAAAATAACGAATCCGTCTGAAATTAATTTCCTAACTTTGTCTAAGGAAGAACCAATTAAAAGTGTCAATCAAATGAACTTGTCAGTTACAAATGACAAGGAGAAAAACGAAATAAATAATGACAAAACTATACCAGATATCCATCTGGAAACACATGAGACTGAATCTGCTATAGATAAGATCTCGTTGTTACCACATGAAAATGGTTCCAGATCGCTCAGAAAAAAATCAGCTGTGAACTATTCAGAAATCGAGGAAAATAATGACTCGTCCAACCCTATCACGACAACTGAAAAAGTTTCTGCTAGAAATGATGGAGAACCAACGGTCAACGTAAAGAAAAACAAAGCTAGAAAGTCAAATACAAACAAAGTTGGCAATGAATCTGTATTTGATATGGAAGATTCAGAGAAACGCAATCCCTGTATTATTTCCAAGATCTCCAACACTGAAATTTCAGCAGAAAATGCTCACTGTGTAGTTCCTATTAGAAATGAGGATTGCTTAATGAAAGAAATTTCAGGGGTTACTGTTAGCCTACAGGGGGAAACAGTTTTCAATGGAAACATTCCAGAAAATACAATAGAAACCTCAAATATTTTACCAAGTTCCACGAAACAGACGAAAAAGTCATCTAGAAACGGGAAAGTAATTAGAAAAAAAAGAACAAAATCTAGAGCGACTGTTGGAGTTCGTCTCCAACCTCCAACACTTGAGAATTTGACCAAAGATATCCAGATATCGCCTAGTACAGTTACTCAGATCGATAAAGATGTACCTAACCACGTGAGTGATGTTACGTCCAAACAGCTAGACATTAAAGAACCTCCTATTAAGATAATCATTAATACTCAAAAGACCAGGAGGAAATCTAAGAGTATCAAAAAAATTGGCCACAAAGGCCAAAACGACTTGTTCGAAGATTTCTCACTGGTCATAAAGAAGAAGAGATCTGCTCCACTGATAGCTTTCACTCCCCCTAATACCTTCGCAGATGAAACTACGTATCCTTTATTTCTTTCAAGGCCAATAGAAAAGCGACTCAGTCCAGAAAAGAAGGAGCCAGAAGTAGACGATTTGGATGTGTCAGTAGAGGAAATGGATATGGAAATAGATGAGATTCCGATAACGTCCAATATCATAGAGAATAGTCTGAGCTTGGCTTTGCCTATACCACTAGAGGGGCCTCCTTCTGAAACTGTACCGGAGGTGGTTCCCGAGGCTGTGCTAGAGAAAGTGGAAATGGAAATTAAGGCTACACGAGTCGAAAAAGAGAGCAAGAGTTTTGAAGGTTCCAAAGAAGATTTGGACATACTTGAAAAGCAAGACTCTCCGGAGGAGCTTGTATTTTCAGAGAAGCAACTAACATCTGAAATTTCACAAAAAATACCAGAGAAAAAGACTGAATTGGTTTCCCCAAAGAAGGGAAAAAGAAAATCGAAAAGTAAATCTTTACGGAAGGATTCCTCAAAAACTACCTCAGAGGTCAACGATCAGGTTGATGAATTAATTATTGAAAGTTCAGATCAGCCTGAATTTTCGCAGTTATTCGCCAGCAAAAAATTAGAATCAATTTCTGGATGCAACACATATGCTACAGAGAAACATGTTGACATGGATGAAATTGAAGCTGTAAAAACACCTGACTTGATTGAACCTGTATATAAGACAATTGATAATCACATTTCTGGGGAGCTTTCCACTAAAGAAGTAGATATAGATCGTATATATGCCTTTTCTGAGACAGAAGACTTCGAATTGGAAAAACCAATAGAGTTGCCTGGGAGGTTTCCTAGAAGCAAGGATGATGAGTTGCGTGTTTTAGATGAACCGCTTACGAAGACCGTCACAAAAAAGAAAGCCAAACTTTCTGAAGAACTTGTGCCGGAAGAGAAACAGGAAACCAGCTTTGGGGAAATCAAAGAAAGTGAAACCGAATCTAAGAATTTTGGGAGAAGAAAATCCATGCGTAGTGCCAAAATCAAAGCTCTCGAACATATTCACGACGACGCCGTGGCAGATTTGACTGAGAGCGAACGACATTCAAATTCGAAAGCTATGCAAAGTTCAGTAAACGAGATGGTTGACAGTGTGTCGAAAAAAAGTTCCAGTAAAAAACAAAAGAAGTCTCTGAAACCTTCGCCGTTGATCGAAGGCTTGAATTTTTCTCGCGGGGCAATAGACGGCGAATCTCCCATTCTGGCAGAACTTGTTGCGGAGCTGCACGGTTTAGAGGAATTGGAGAACAGCATCGAACGTGAACTGAGCGCTGAAAACGATGAAAAAGTGGAGGACAAAGAATCTGTTGATGTTTCTCTTGACATTGTAAATTCTCATCCTGATCCCGCTGCTATGGAAGACAACCAAGAACGCAGGAGAAGTAGAAGGGGCTCTAAGAAAGTCGCCTCCTACAACGAAAACGATCTCGTAGATCCGATTCTCGACGAAATAGAAGGGAAAAAGAAAACGAAGAAGATTGTCCCATCCGAAAGTAAGGTATCAAAAAAGGCAAAAGAGCCCGTGAAAAAATTGAACAGCGAGGAGTTATTCGATTTGTTGAAAGCATCGACTGATAGCATTTACGTACCAAAACAACAGAACTCTTTTCTGAATAACCTAGAGGATACGTCTAGAGACTTGAACGACGATAACTTTGATAGCGTCTTTAACGGCGCCTTGAAAAAATCCGTTGTTTTGGGTCAAAGCACGGAAGTCAAAAGCAAGGTAGACATCGAGAAAGTTTACGAATTCACAGAAAGCCCGGAGGATAGCGAGAAGGCAGTAGACGAACCGTCTACAAAAAGAAATTCGGTCTGTGCCAAACCACCAGTTGACGATACCGTTTCTTCAATATCAAACTCGTCTTTCCTGCTCCCTACTCCTGACTTACAAGACTCCAGCAGGGACAGCGGTGTCAAAGTTCTGAGAAGTGACAGGTCAGAAAACTACTGCCAGATTTGCAACAAGTCCTTCATCAGGATAGAAAATTTGATCAAGCACAAGCGTACGCTGACCCACATTCAAAAATTGTCCGAACTTGAGGCGAGAGAAGCAGAAAAATCTAAGACTGATGAAGTAACAGGACTGATTGAAACCGCAGAGGCAGAGGAGATACCAGCGGAATCGCTACAAGATGCTGGATGCGTCGTTGAAGCTGAAAGTCATTCTTTAACAGTACAGTCTTCGTTCTCTAACAACCATAGTCTGAAACTCGCTGACATTATCAACGACGTCCTTAATAAACCGGTATCGCTGGAGAAAGAAGAACACATGTTTTCTGACATTCTGCAGGATACCAACGAACTCCAGGCTGAGGTGAAAAGGTATAAAAGCTTGGGCGAGCGTAAGAGTTTCGACTCTGAAAGTGCCTTGCCGAGCGATCGTGCTGTATCGGATTCCTTCGAGTCCAAAACTATGATTCTAGAAAAGCAAATAAGCCTGTTGGAGGGCATAATCGAACACCAAGCCACCAATAACTACATTGATGATATCTCTATCTCGTCTGATAGTCTCTCCGGAAGGCAAAGCCCCTCTGATGTGGGCTCCAAGCTGGAAGATGAAGCTACCAGAAATGACTTGCCTAAACCGCTTGCTGATGACGGTAGCTTCATCAAGCCTGTTCAGTATGAGGAAATTTCCGAGGATAGCGCTAACTTACGTAACTACGAAGATCAGAAATTGAGGAAGACACTTAATAGAGATGAAGAGTTGTTTCTGGAATGCTGCAGTTTGCTGAAAAGCGGCTCGGAGGTGTCCAGCAGCTATTCCAATAAACGATTGCAGAATAAAGTTATGAGTACGGGGGGTCTCAGGCAGGTCGACGAGCCCGAGTGGCTGGAAAAGAAAAGTTTGGTGCAAAAGCCGCAATATGATATTATTGATGACTCCGATGACAACTCTAGAATCCCGACACCTTTGGGAGATAGTTACGATGACGATGCTTCCAATTCCAATACGATTTCTTCCAACTGGGATATGACTGACAGAGTTCCGGAAGTTTGTCAAGATGGGAGGAAGACTCGAGACAAAAAGTTCCACTTCGAGGAGATTTCCAAGGAGAAGCTTCAGGATCAGAGCGGCTTGAAATTCGAGGGACTATTAGCAAGTGATAGGTAAATAGTTTTTCTCTATTATATATTTGAAAATTGAAAAAAAATCCAAATAAAGATGGTTCATAAATTTTTATGATAACTTTGAGGAAGGTAATTAGACATATCCCCTTATGAGAACGATATCTGTGGCATAGACAGAAGATTCAATCCTCGAATATCAATAATGAATGATTTTGTGAATCACCTTGGTCTTTTTTTTTCAATTTGTTTGTGAAGAATTATTACAGTAATGATGATTGTTAATAATTAAAAAATTTCAAAGTAATTCACTCACCTTCTGGTATCAACCATACATGATAGTGTATTATAGTTAATCGAACTTAATAAGAAGTCCATGTTTTCCAAAGTGGAGTTCATACCTACTTAAAAAATTGGGATATTTATTATAATTATTAAAATGTTTTATGTTACGAAGTCACACAAAGGAAGTGTTTATTTTCTTAATAATATTTCTGGAGTTAATAAAAATACCTGTATCTTTCTCAAATCGTAAAAAAAAACTCTGAAAATGGAACTAGGAATTGAAAAAATTATAGTAACATTTTAATGACCCTAGTCATTTTCCAACATTCCGTTTTATTAGGTCCATTTGATTATTTTAGTTATTACTAGTTCACAAGTTACATTTCGCATAATTTCAGTTCGCCTTCATCTAAAATTATGATTGAGGTGTTATTCTATTTGTAATTTTACACAAAGTAATTTACGATTTGAGAAACATAAAATTCAAAAGGTGTGAACAATGACATTATGTCAATGTCACTGTCAACATCTTTTTGTGATTCCTGTTGCAAATCTTTTAAGAATTCTTTTGGTTTGAAGATACATAATGGAAAAAATTCATCAAAATTCAAGAAATAATTCCAGTATTCCTGTTCCCGAAACCATCGATGTCTCAAAGAACGAAAATGTTCGCATACCCTTCCACAAGAGTCTGGCTACTTTGAAATGTAATTCTATCGTTCCTAAGAAGATACCGAAAGCTGCCAGATTTCTTTCTGCTTCCGTCCTCTCGAATACCATCGATGGATGTATCAAATGCAATAATTCCATCGAATCCTAGGAGAAACTTCTTTTATTTGGTTACAAAAACTTCCAATATTCCTCCAAAACATCTCTATTTACTTTGATCTTTAGTTTGATCTCCCTCTTGAAGATGATCACTTGGTGATCGAAACACGTGTCGAGGTGCTAAAATAACGGGTTTGGTGTTGGGAAAAAACTTCAGTAATATTCATGAACAATTTAGGTAAACAAAAAAAGAGGTGATCGTTTTTTGCGAATATCTCAAAAATTATTGCAGATATTTGAAATTTGAAAAAAAATCTTTATAGAGCAGAAAGTTTTCCAAAAAACGTAACTTCCGAAACTGTATACCAATATTTATAGCTTTAGTGGAGCGGTAAAAAACGACTTTTTGGCTCACATACTCGACGTCCGATTCGGTTGCTTCAACAACAAAAATTCAAACCATTAAATGGGAATATTAGGAAATAAAAAAATTTGGGTATTTGGTGGATAGTTGAATAAACAATAATGAGTTGGTTGAAAAATGTTATCGCAATCTTCTTTTCATTTATGCTTTTATTTGCGTGTGACAAAACGAAAGTACTACCTTTTTCAGTAACTGCTATTTCCACGAACAATTTTGTTATAACTTCATAGTAAGCGTGTAAGTGAAAAATCAAATAATTTGATTTAGTGATATTCAAAACTGTTTATTTTTCTAACAGGCAATATGGTTTCATGTAAGACTAAGTAACTTTTGAAAAAAGAATAATAATGAATTAGCTAAGTATATAGACGGAGTATAGACGAAAGATTATTGTATCGCAAAGTTCAAAAAAGTTTATGAAATGTAGCCAAAAAGCATTAACTTTCACAACTTCCAAAAAGTTGAACTTGAAAAATATTTTTATTTATGGATTATTTTACAAATTTCGATATTTAATTTAGACGTTGAAATATATAATTGTCCAGAAAAATTCAAAAATAAATGTAAAAACAATCCGAATTATATTTCACTAATCAATTATTATTTGAATAATTTGTTCAATAACCATTTAATTTTTATTTCTGTTATAAACGTACATGTTTCTGGGGATTAATAAATATTATTATTTGCATTATATGCATATGCAAGTGTTACCCCCCTATCTAACTCATTACTGGATTCTTGTTAGGAAAATCGCCGAGAGACGTCGATTTTTGATTACTACAATGTACATTTGAGTATGAACAGTTCACTGCTAATTTCACCCTTTGATGGAGGGGAGCAACCCTTTCGAAAAATTCAAATAGCATGGAGTGGGGACTGATAGCTCATTTGATAGGGGGTTTTATTTTCTATTCAACCGTCCAAAGGAATTGAAATTTGCTATACGAATTCAATAGTTATGATTGTTTAGGAATAACGACAATTAACGTAACGCAATCACCATTAGAATTGAAAATTCGGCCCTGTATGATATCTGTTTTGGTTCAGACGTCAAGTGCGACGTATTTGTCATTTACTTATTGCGTCATTTACGTGTTTGCGGATAAATGGTCAATGCAAGAAACTGATATCACGGAGAGAGTGTATATCTTTTAGTTGTGCTTGCTATTCATCATCTTCAAACAATGCGTTAACCTGCGTTAAATGAGAAATGCGAAGCAATTGTTATTTTTTGGTAAGGCTCATCGCAATTATCATGAGGCTGTACAAATGCTCAATGAACTTTTTCCAGATCGCCCTATTGATAGACATTATTTCAAACAGTTAGTGGAAAAATTTTATGCAGTGTGCAAAATAAAACACCTTCTGGGCTATAAACTACAGAGGAAGATAAACTAGTGGACATTATGAGCGACTTTGTGAATAATCCGTTCTCATTGAGTAGAACTGTAGCCTTGAATTGTGAGGTTTCGCAGATGATGGTATTGAGAGTTTTAAGAGTTCTGGAAAAAATAAATATCATCCCTACAAACTAAAAATGGTGCATGAACTGACAGACAATGATCCAGACCACCGTCTAGAATATTGTGACGTCATCTCTAACAATATTTTGCAAAATCCCAGCTATTTGAAACACATTTATTCACGTGACACATTTGTCACGTGCATAGACAAAATGTGAGTACTGGTCCGATGAAAATCCTCGACTTTTTCGCGAAACTCATATCCAGTTTCCCCAAAAAGTTAATGTGTGCGCAGGAATACTGGGTGACTACATTATAGGCCCGTTATTCATTGAGGAAAATCTGACAGGTGCTCCATATTTGGAATTGCTGGAAACAGTGATATATCCACTGAAGGTGGCAACTGTCGAAAATAACTTTGAGGAATTTGACATGGACATTATTCTGCAACAAGATGGAGCTCCTCCTCATTTTGCAATTGCTGTGACGACTTATTTGAATACTGTTTATGCAGGACTATGGATCAGGTGCCGAGGATCTGTGGAATGGCCTCCAAGATCACCAGATCTAACTCCTTTAGATTTCTTCCTCTGGGGTTGCCTAAAATCTACGAGACTCTATTCAAGAGTTGCGTGCGCGGATTACAGAAGTATGTGTATCAATTACACGCGATACTTTGCAAAGCGTCAGGACTAAAACTAAAAATAGACTTTACTTTTGCCAGGAGGTCAACGGGGAACATTTTGAACATTAACTGTAATAACAGAAAAAGTTAGTGTTAGTTCAGAAAAAGTTAGTGTTAGTTTAGTTGCCTTCCTGTTTGTGGTGTAATTCTTTGCAAGGTTGAATAGAGAATAAAACCCCCTTTCACTCACCACCCCATGCTTTTTAAATTATTCGACAGGGTTGCTCCTCTCCAGTAAGGGATGCAATTAGGGGTGAACTATTCATACAAAAATGTACACTGTAGAAATAAAAAATCGACGTGTCTCTGCGATTTTTCTAACAAGAGTTCAGTAACGAGATAGATAGGGGGTAACACTTATGATGCACACTGTATAAGTGAAGTGTATAACAAATTTTGAGTGTAAAAATTGACAACTTTTCTTTTCTTACATAAGACACAAAAATGTAACTTATAATTTGACATTTTTTACAGAACCGGTTTTTCTACCGAGGATGTCGGCAATTTTCCAAAGAAGACCAGAACAGATACGAGTTCCGAAGGTTCCTCTAATGACCCCAAGAGGGTCATCACTAAAGGTGCTAGAAAAGTATTCGAGGGCCTTAAAGTTTCCATCCCTACCGAAGAACTGAATTTAGAAGAGGTCCTCAACAGTAGCCCAAAGCCCAGGAAATTATCCAAAGAGAGTCACCTTAAATCAGACAAACTGACTGGATCCCCCACTCTCCCAGTAAAAGCCCCCAGAAAATCGAAGCCTGTTAAGAAGTCTCAAGTGGGTAGTAATCTCTTGTTCAAGGTGAACAAGAAGAAGGTCCTGTCTCCTGGTAGCGGAAAGAATGGTGATAGCAAAAACTATGACGTCTACGATTTTGAAGAAACCCAAGATGGGACTGACGTGTTCACGAAACCAGACTACCGAACGTTCAGAACCCTGAAGAATGGCGAACCGTCCAATGAGCTCGAGAGCGAAACTGACAGCAGAGAGTACCTGGACACCTTCAGCTTGGGACCGGAATCTGTGACTTCCAGCACTTCCTCCCTGCCGCCTGCGAAGAAGCCGAAGACGCAGGAAAACATCACCAAAAAGAAGTGCATGATCATGGGGAGGATCTTCAAGAATACGGCTGCGAAAACGAAAATCGAAGACATCGACGAGGAAATCCGGGATATACCGATTATGAACCATGAAGAACTGGTGGAGAGCTACGTCGCGGATTGCAAGAAGGTTATCAGGAACGAGGGCAAGCCAAGGTTGTCTGAGACGGAAATAAATGTGCTTTTTGACCAGCTGCTCGAGAATAGGACTAGCGACAAAGAGGGCGCTAGTAGTAGCGTCAATAAAACGACTCCCAAACAAAAACAGGACCTTAAAAAAGCGGAGAATAAGAAGAAAGTTAAAGCGAAAGGTAATGATTTTGAAACATTTTATGAAAGTTTCATTCACATTGAACCATACTGTCTATGTTTAGAAAACGTAATAAAAACAATTCATGATGGTCTAAATATTTATTTACACTTTAAACTATGGTTGTGACATTACTATGATGATACATGGAAAAATGTTCAACTAGAAACCCTAACAGAAAATGAATACAAATAATCTCAGGACAGGGTTAAATACTTATGAAAAGTACTCCCTAAACTTACATAAGTGAAATAGTTTTTTACCTTCACGAGATAATTTAATGCAAAACTATCTGATACCTGGGTTATTTCAGGTATCTGATTTTTGTGTAACACGTCTGTTCAAATAATTATATTGTAAATGTACAACCAACGGTTGCGTCACACTGCCTTCAATTATACCTCGTGAATTTACCACACAAAATTCTTCATTTTACTTACTAACGATACTTTCAGATATGAGTAATGAACTCTTTGAAACTCTACCAAACTTTTTAAATAATATTAATAGAGTTTTGTAATTTATTATGATCGCCAGGCATTCCGAGCATCAAGTTATTACTACCAGCTGACGAATGAGAAAAAACAATTGAACGGATCAGACCATCTCTAACAGAATCACCACATTGACCTTGTGAAAAAGTGAAAACCACACCATTACAAGTGGATTGGTTAGGATAGCTGCCGATAGGATAACAGCCGATTTTATTGAGCACTACACCTACTTTGTAAACCTGCAAAAAATACAAATTGAGATTTCTCAATAAAAATCAGAGGGCATATTAATCACCTTATTACGCTGAATGTAGACAGGTCTATTGAAGGATATTTCAATTAAAGATCGGTAATTCACTCGGCTGGTGAAGTGGGTATAAGTCAAGCGGCTACCATCTGCATCCAAAAGATGAGCGTATAATAACTCAGGGTAGACGTTCCCAATAGGTATGCGTTCCTCATCAAGAGGAATTTGTGCAGGAACCTAAAAAATGAGTTATATGCTTAGAAAAAGAACATGAACATAGTTCAGTAGAAAGTTATATGTTGGCTTCAAACAAAGTATTTGTTTGTAATTTTTATTCAGATTATAGACATATTTGAGATCTGACAACACTGTCATCACCAAGTAGAACACCAGTGAATTTGTACAGTGAAATGGATAATATTCCCTACAGTGGATGGATAATATTCCCTTAAAATCATTCATTTGAGTGTAGGTTACGAGAAGTGTATTCTAGAATAACAGAAAATTAAAAATTCATTTTCAAGTTATGCAGTACTTAGTACATTCTTCCGCATAGCCGCTAAAATCAAATTGATTTAAAGCATGGAAATCATTTATTAAGCAGGATCCTAAACGTCGAAAAGATAAAAATTACAGACGCGGTTCAACCCGGAAAACACTGTATATATTTATATACAACTCAGTAGCACTTGTGCTGAGTTGAACTACGCCTTTTGTTCAGCAACTAGCTTTGTAATTTATCGAAATATTTGTATGTAACTATAGCTGGAAAACGACAGATACGATTATTATTATATACACTGGTTCGCACTAATATACAGGGTTTAACAGAAGTACGTAGAAATATTCGAGTGACGTATTCCGGAGACAATTTCAAGAAGAAAAATTTATATAAGCTTGTGTCCGGAAATGCTTCGTTTTGGAGATAAAGGGTGAATTTAATTGTTCGTTTTTTAAAAATTACTTTTTCAAAAAATCAGTTATTTACACTCAATTTGGTCTCCGGGGTTGCTTCATCATGGGAAATTATAATTTCGTATTAATTACTATATAACACCTAAAGGGCGCTGCGGACACTGTGATTATTTATTTCGAATTTTTGACAGTCAAATTTTGGTACAATTTTCGCTAAGAGAAAGGCGCTGAGTGAAGTTGTTGAGAACATTACAAAAACTAAGTAAGTGGTGGATCTAGTCAAAATAAACAAGTCTTTCCTATAAAATATTCTTCTAAAAGTCATCCGTTTTCGAAATACAAATTGTTGAAATTTTTTCAAAACATGCTTCGTGTTTGTCATAAGTTTTTTGCAATTTTAGTTATACGAATAAA